AAACTATTATTACCCTCGCTCGTGTTTCTTGTTTTGCCGTACCCCTATCCCGAAGGACCTCGTCCTAGGTGAAAGTCATAAATCTCAGCCACCGCCCCGGCTACACCCACCCACTCATATCCGAGAAGCATTCTGTCCCGATAAAAAACCAGGAATCGAACGATACAAGTGGGCTCACCACACGCTAAGAAAATTGAAATACATATTCGACGATGGCTCTAGATACGAATTTGCATCCGGTTGTCACCAAAGAGAAATGATACATCGGCGGACGTGGATAGCCATAAAGCGATCCAGGCTACAGTTTGATCGTAAGGTGAGAAACTCGGGACGCGTATATACTTACGACCCAATAAACTGCTTACTCATTGCTGACGAAATTGACCGGTGACTGTGAGTAATGGAATGCGGTATAACGGTTGTTGGAACTTTATAAAATAAAATATTTGATGAGAGGGTTGTTAATAGAATCGATGTTCAATCAGCTAACCGAAGATAGTATAGATGTGGCTTAATTATAAGTGGCCTATATCGTACGAGGAGAGGAAAATTGATATACGCAACTCGTTTAGCAGAACTGTAGCTAAAGTTGAGTTTAAACATTGAAATTTCTTTCTATACGCATGTATCTATAAAAGCTGGGAAATTCAGAAGAGTATCCTCCAGATAAATAGGGATATTATCGTAGCTTGTATGTTTCTTTCTTGGAAAACATATATTTCTCCACTGAGCTCCTTGTATATAATATCTTTCATTCTTACATTGCGCATTCGAGCAATATATTTTCAACGTTCGTTATTTTATTACTCTACAACGTTATTAACACAGTAGTACAGATAAGCAAAAATAAAAGCTAGGAAGGAAAAAATCCAATTCCTCTGGATCAACGTTAATAGTAGCTAGCTAGCATGTATTTTTAAAAATGAAAAGCTAAAATTAAATTTTACACACAATTATTTCGACCTTTTGTGGATAGGCTTGCTTGTTTATTGAAATGTTTCACGTTCAATTCAAAGGGAATAAATAATTTTCCATTTTAATCCGATTAAGAAGTATCGTACGAGAAATTTGTACTGTCGGTGCTTTGACCATCGTGTTAGTATTAATAATACGCGATAGGAGCTCTACCTTTAGACTAAAATATCTATTGCGACGAAGCTACGCATTATTAGCCAGGATTAACATCAGCTTTCTCTACAGTAGCTGATAAGGGATATTTGAGAGGATTCGTCGAATACAAAGCGAATATATAACGAACTCTAACATCAAAGAGAGTTTTGCCATCAGAGAAAAAAGCTACGATACCTTTTAACGAATATTAGAATGAATAAAACGTAGTCCTAAGATAATACGTACTTAATAGATCGTACTAATAGCTACAAATCATCGAACGATTTCATCGAAAACGAATCGTTCGATCTTTGTACGAAAAGACTTCGTTCTATGCATTTTCATATGGAATCAACCCTTTTCGATTATATCGCCAATTACAGAAATATCCTGTATCGTATCTCCGCAAAATTCTATTTCCTTCCAGAAGATATCTCTCGCATCCGTATCCTTCAGAGTGATAATAAAACTAGCCATCCAGTACAGTGAATAACTGAAATTCGCGCTCGCATTAAATCAACGTAGAATATATACGTATACTGGTTGAAATTCGATATAGAATCCGAGGTTCTGATCGGTGCAGTGCATTCGTTAGCCCGCAGTTTCTTTAACGCGGCGATAGACCGAGCGGAGCAGAAAGTGGAAGAATTATTGCCGTGTGTACAGATACGCCTAAGGGGCCTGGCTAACCCTTTACGATCCATTCAGACGATAGCCGAGAAACGATAGCCGAGGATCGATAGCCGAGCGTTATTGTGAAATTTTCTTATTACGTGTAATACGAGGAGCCGCGTGATTTACCGTCTTTGAAAAGAACCATCGAGAACGAGATTCCTAATTAAAGTCGTCTATATTACCGAGAGTTTACCAGTCGGGAGACCGTATGTAATTAATTCTCCGCAATATCTGGTTACCGTGCTCCATAGATACAACTGCAGATACCGAGTGCAAGAAAGAACGCGATGGAACTACTCGACTATTCGTGCGTAACGAAGCGAATTTACTCCGGAGCTGGTTCTTTTTTCGTGCCTTTCCTTTTCACCTTGTACGCCTCTGCCCACCCAACTCCGTGTCGCGATTAACCTAAATTAACCCTTTCTACACTGGTACGATACGTACAGCGATAAACAAACGTATCGGGAGTACGTAACTCGTTGTTGAAAACGATGAAACGTCTTTCGAAAGAACTTGTTTTCGCTGATCTACGATATCTTCGCTCTAAATTGTTCGTTGTATCATTTGTTCGCTGTACTATCGTTTGTTCCGACATACTTCAAGAAGTGGTTTACCATGTTTTTATACATTTACTTCTTTTTAAGTTAAACGCTCTTTGGCCCACGGCTAGTTTGCTTCAGGAAGTTGTTTCTAAAGACAATGATAGTAAAAAGTTTCGTTTGAACTAGAGATATACCGGCTAAGGTTTGGTCGGATAGCCCACTATCCGACTAACCGATTAATCGGCTCCCAAGAAACAGATCGGTCGGTCGATTAGTCGTTTCTGTCGATTATTTTCAAATATCGCTACAAAAGAGAAGGAAGAGAAGATTTCTTAACATTATCTGTTGTATTCATCTTATCGCGGCTTGTTTCAAAGAGTTGTTTCTTATGATAAAATTAAGAAATAATGACCAAAGTACTTGTTTCGTTTATTTCAGTAAATAACAATTAATATTTTTGTTTTTTTATGTAATAATTACGTTACTTGTGAATATCTACCTATAAGTTAGAATACTGCGTATTAAAAAATAGCAAAATTATACTAATAGCAATAAAGGAAGAACATTGTATTTTTATTTCTATACCTTATAAAGTAATACTAAAAATTTGAAGTCGATCGATCGGCTGTTTTTGCCGACAAAATGTAGCCGGGTAGTCGGCTTAACCGACTAGCCGGTACGTAAGCCACACGCGTGACAGTAAATCGAAATTTTACATATACTCGATCAATGAATCACTAGCATCGATTTCTATAAGAAAAAAAGATAAAAATCGAGTGGGGAGAGACAGAATCATTGTTGCGCGAAGCACGATTCGTTTCGCCTAACAGGCGGCAGATAACGTGATTCGTTTCCACAAAAAAGAAAATTTCGAAGAACCACGTGAACACTAGTGGTTTACCAATTGCTGCAAGTATAAACCGATAATTATGCAGTGCATACGGTGGACTCGTGCGTGTCGCAGCGTCACAACGTCTTGAACTCGCCACTTAATTTCCTGTTTAAAATACACGATCAATTATGTAAACGTTGCTCCCGTTACTTTTCCGACGAAAGTGAATGCTGTGGCATCCGTCGCGTGTATGTTTCGTCGAACCTCGTTCATTTAGCGCAACGAATGACCATGGACGCTTATTAGGGAGATTGTATTGCGAAGATAGGTATCATGGGCGTAGTATGCTACAATTGTGTGAAATCGATATTAGTAACCGGTCAAAGCTAGTAGATCTGGTCGTATGGATAACTGTTTCCTCGCTTTTTTGTTTTTACTTTGTAAGAAGCAAAGAATTGTAGACTTATTACCTGTTTTTAGTTGCCATTCGTCCCCTATATCAATTTGAAACGTTATAATAATTTGTCAAATATACAGAAATTTCATTTTTTTATTTTCACCGGAAGAATTTTGCTGGAAGAAGTTTACTTATCTTTTCGACCACTGTGTCAATTTGGAATCGGAGGCGAATCGAATTGGGAAGATGGACGTTAATTTGCTTGCAAATGTTCCAACAATAGACAATATAGAAGTTTCAAAGACTGAAGAGATGAATTTATGATATTAAGTTAATATTGTTCGGTATTAATGTCGACTAGTACCGAAGTTGGATGAGAAATTCGGTTAATTCGAGTTTAGATCAGCCAAACCGAATGTTAAAAATTCGTTTAACGTGTCATCGAACCTATCCTTGGAAGATTGTAAATGAAGGTACAGGCGGGAGAACGCTAATGAAGATCTTTTGGCCGGTTTCCTGAATTTTGAATACGTTACGGTCCAAATTCGCTGCATTCGGCATGCAGGTGTGCAATGCAGAGAAATTCCATATGTCCTTAGTATGGAAAACTATTCCGCAATTCTGTAGTTCCTACGTGAAACCACTTTCGTGAATTTCTAATAGAGTAATTACTATCGTAGAAAGGAAGAAAGTGCAGAGAACCGCACGAAATTATTTTCTGAATTTTGCTGAAACCCGAACCAAGAATAAAACGGAAGAGGAAACTAAGAAATTCGAGACCAGGGAGGAGAAGTATATGTAAATTTTTCACCTAGAAAATAGCGAAAAGATCACGCATCGTTGCATCATAAATTCAGATCACGTAGTATACCTCCTGACTTTTTCAACGAGACAATTCTTAATAAGGTCTTTGAATTTATCTCGATATCGATTTTAATATTCTCAAAATGTATATGTAAAACCTCAACTTCTGTGTAAAATTTCCTAACATTTATTCACTTTTCGACCTCAACTTAACGAAAAAAGGAAAAGCGTTCATCGCACGGTTGATACTTGCAACAAAGGGAAAACAGAGGAAAAATATATGACCCATTTCGTGGAATCTTTCCGTGTGACCGCTTCAACCGGATACAACGCGAAGAGAGTATCGCAAACGAAAAAGGGCACAGTCCATTAAGCACACGTTCCAGAAATTCGTCAAAAGACCGACCCGGAGCGCAAAAGAATTAGCTGTCTTGTCCGATCTTTTTCGCGTGATATCTTCGCTGCGAGAGGAACGAAAGTGGTGCATCAAGGGCGACGACAGAACAGTGGCAGCGATGCGGCAGAATTTAAACGCTGCAAGTAGTCACTTGCTGGCCAGGTGATCCTCGAATGGTCGATACGGGTGCCCTTATTACCGCTGTCTGTCCTTAATTCAGAGTTACGCCACTGCGGCGTGCATTCTACCTGCGAGGAATTGCTTTCACAGCTCAATGAGAATCCTCCGATTACCCGAATCGGAGGAAGTGAAAGAGCAAAGGTTGTTCTCCAGTACGTGACAGAATGTCGCCACGATATTGGCGAACCGACTGACGCATGCGTCGCCGACGATTCGCCGCAATTTTGGAATCTTGTCAACAAACATCTCACTGTGCGCCCTTAACCCGCAAGCCGAACTAGCCTTTCGCACGCTCGCGACTCTGTTTTTTTCCACGTCGTGGCGTGATCGTCTACCGTCTACGATATTCATCTGGTTGAAACGTTTAGTCGACAGGAATCTAGTGGAAAGATAATATCGATGGAGTATACGTACGTCTGCGCGAAGGGGATGAACGTTGTTTTCAAAGTGTGATCGTGTGCAGTGAATAATATCTTGTTAAAAGTGATTTTCTGAGATGTATTTATTTGTATAAGGTGCAAGAGAATCTGTAACTCTAATTTATATAATATATATAATTTATATAATTTAGATTAAAAGCGTTTATATTGATTTAGAGAAAGTTTGAAACGCTGATGAGTTGAAAATAATTTAAACAGCTGCGTATACACGTGTTACAAGATGGATGAAATAGAAGCTGAAACCGATCGGTCGATCGCTGCCACGCTCTCCAAAAGGTAGAACACGAAGATAATTAAGTATGGTGAAATGAATCGTTTTACAAATTACTGTTTTTTTTATATACGTTTCACTGCGATTAGTATTGGCTTCCAACGTATCGAGGTCATCCTCGACCACCCTCAGAAGGTCTGTTACAGCGGAAATCAGATTTCAGGGAACGTACGCTTAGATCTGGATGAACCAACAAGTGCTTTAGGTAAGCTACCGCCAAGGCGATCTAAAAACGACATCTAATTTAATTCCGAAGAAAACTGAATCTCTATGACGTTAACTGTTGCGAAGCGCAAACTGTTTCGACCGAAGAAAATATTTCGAACCACGCTTTCTCCAAAGAAAGTTGTTCTCGTCGAAAATGGCAGAGTGTACTTTGAAATTTATCAGATATTCGTGAACAAACAGAAAGAGAGAGAGAACAGATCGTCGCTGATATCGTTTGCAATGAGGCATCGAAATTAATCTGAACGGAACCGACCGTCAGATAACTTGGCCAGAGAACGGGACAACTATAGTTTTAAGTTTCGCTGGTTGGTCGTGTCTGCCACGTTATCTCCTCTACTGCCTCCGATGTATCGAAAGCCGACCCTGCTGTGCGATAGATAGAGGGAACGCACCTCGCAGCAAGATATTCGATTGGCTCGTTGTAA